GTCTAAACTCTTCTCATCAAAGAGAGTCATAGATTTATAAAAATATCTATTGACATATGATTTTTTTCGTAAAAATCAAAACACAATTCTTATTTTCAGTAGATATCGATACCTACTCGCTAGTTACATAATCTTTCTCTAAAATTTGTGATTGAATTACTTTGTCTGTCACCTGATCTATATAAATAGTATAGAATGTATAAAGTGTAATCGGAATATAGAGCTTCATATAAAACAAACAAGTCAAAAAAAATTTGTTTAACTTCATTGAAATCAGAAATGAAATGAATGGAATAGGTCTTTTTCTTTTTACCATGTTCAATCATTTCAATTCATTTTCATTCCAATTATCAATAGGCCAGTTCAATAAAATTATGCTTATGAGATATAATATGATATGTGACTATGTTTGCGATAATAATCAAATTTCATACGATTTCATGTACGTAGTCTGCGTTTGTTGAACAAACGACCGTGCTTGCGCTAATGTCTAATAGAGAGTGAATGAAAATTAACCACTTTATCAATGTAGAAAATTAAAAGAAATTACATGACGATGAAGAAATGAACATTTTCATGAACTAAATACCATAATTGTATTTTGGATTTAGAAGCCATGAACATGATGAAATTTTATTGCTTATCGAATTCCATGTTCAACCAAATCATAACTCTCCAGTAAACTTTCTCGAAAAGATGAAATCCTGGCATTCTAATTTTCAAACTAAATTTTCACATGAGTTGCTTAAGCTATTGGGATAGACATGGAAAGGAATGAAAACTTCCTTCTGATGCTGAATATCGGTTTTCTATTGATGAATTTACAGATTACGTAAAAGAAATTGAGTAATTTTCCGCACGTCAACTACAATAAAGCAAGCAGATATTTTTGAAAATAAACTCATAAAAACATGTCGGAATTATTACGAAAACAAAATCATAAAAGTATTTTCACGCGAATATATCTGTTCAAGATTTTTGATTTAAGCGAAATGAAACTGAATTCACAGATCTTTAAAAACTTTTTCGATTCTATTCATCTCAACTCATGAATTAGGAAATTTTTCTTTCAATTTGACTCAATTCAATTCGAATCATGTATTGAATTGCCTAGTTTTTGAATTGAGTTGCTCAGTTATGAATCGAACGTATAGTCACATGTAAAATATATACGATAAAAAAAAATCATTCTACTTTTACAAAACTCATCTAACTACTGCGCGTTCTGTGAAAGTAACATATATGAAGATTGTTTTTTTAGATTTCGAACAATGTTGAACCTTTTTTATGTATTTTTCGAATATCTGAAGTCGAACAGATATAAAGAATATATATCTAAACTATCGTCGACAATTGCCTATACTGAATTGACATCATTATTAAAAATATGTGTTATTGGAAAATATGTTAAAATATATTTATCAATTTTTTTTTGTTAGGATAAGAACAAAATTAGTCGCGCACACTCACTGTAAGTCATTTTTATCATTGTGTTCTTAAATAGATTTAAACGTGATTTTTCTTACATGATGAAGATAAAAATATAATGAAAAAGAATGAATAAATACATTTGATAAAGTTATTTAAATATTTTTACTAATAATGTGCCCTTTTAACAAGGACTTAGGTGAGTACGATACTCAGTAACTTGTAGATGAATACAACAACGAGAACGAAGTACTACTATTTTCTAATGAAGAAAAAACAAATATCTACTTCGAAAGAACACAAAATGCAACGAAAAAAGTAGAAATAATTTTTTTGATCGATAATTATTTCTTGAAATGTTGTTGTAAAGTTACCATCAGAAAATGTTGCATAGATGGTTCGTCTGATTTCGCTAACTTTAATGATTTCCATTTGATACTCATTGAACCGACAGACTTCCTATCAATTGATTTCTTTTCTCGTTTATTTAAGCTATCAAATAGATTAAATTTCAAGAATAGTATTAAACGATTGTTCATATTGGAGTTTTTTCAATGACTAACTATCTACCCGGCACTTTACATTGTGTTGCTGTAATTTATCGTGATGCAACAAAATAAAATTTGGGTTTTCTTCTACTTTATGATTAAGTAGAGTACATTATTTTCAATGGGTAAAATAAAAATAAGTGATCAATGATTTAATTAAAAACATTTTCAGGTAAACTTTGAACATTTTAAAAATAGAATGAAATACTTCTTATTTCTAATGGATCAAGTTAAACCATCTTTCATTGACGAGCACCAGATATCTGCCATCGTTCCAGAGTAATTACTGACATGTCAACATCTCAAGTCAAAACTCAAATCGAGCAGACATGAAATATGAATTTCACTTAGTATATAATATTACTTTTAGTATCTGAAATAATTTAATTCTCTTTCTGAGTGCTATAAATTTTTGCTTAAGTGGAGATAGCACAGTGAAATCTACTAATTTGATATATTTCTGATTATTATTATAGCAGTCTAATCCGTTTTATTTCGAACTTAATTTAGTCACTTGTGCATAATTGACAAAAACAAACATTTTCGTACACTGCATTGAATTCTAATTAATCTATAAAATATTTTGATTGTTTCGCAACGTATAATCCTGATCCATCACCTTCTTCACCAGTATAGAACAGTGATTGCTCTCACAAAAGAATAAGGACAATAAGTAAACGTTACAGAATGTCAATAGCAAAGTGTGAGCATGTTGAGAAAAAGTATAAGAAAAGTGGTAGGAATCTGAGAAGTTAAACGAATCCTGAGAGTTGAGTAAATTCAAACAATGCACAATATTCAAATAATCAGAGATACGGATAGATTTAAAAGAATCTGAGGAAGTTTAATATCAGAGAGTTTTTAGGATTTGGAAGATTCCAAGAAATTCAAATCCATCTAAAAATACATGCATTTCGAGGAATGCAAGATAGTCTGAAAATCCTAGGAATTTAAAGATTGCCAGCAATCTGATGAATCAAAAGAATCTCTGAAATATGAAAAATTTGAGAATTCCATGGAATCGCCAAAATATTATGAATCAATAGGATCATAGAAATTCAAGATATACATCCTCTAAGGGTAAAGCAAAAAAACGACGAATGCCCCATAAAGAAAACATCTCACGACGAAGAATGTAAGGACAAATTTAAAAAAATATTCTTTATCAACAAATGGTTGAGAAAATAAAAAAGGGGATGTCATATGTTTTTTCTTGTCGAGCTTCATTACTTATCGACGTGTCTCGATACTAAATTTCGTGGTGTCAAAGACAGCATAGAAGATCTATCGACGAAAACGCATCTATTGGATTGAATCAATTTATAAAATGCAAAACCCTCGTTTGATAAGAGTAGTTTTCATACAACATCCAGAGTTTCCACGACCACTTCGTTCTACGAGTGGACGCAGCTGAGGAAAACTTAGCATGCAATACAAGAGCCAAGTGTTAAATTTCAATCCTTTGTAGATCTCCTGAAATCTCATCTTATCACGTTTAATATCGCAAACTAACATGCCACGAATATATCAGATTTACTTTCTGACAGGAACCAGAGAACCAAGAGATTCTAGGAACTCTAGGAACTGACGAAAGAGGTTTAATTAGAAGAATTTTCAGAACTCCACAAACTGTACGAACTATCAAAAATTCAATGAAATGAAGAAACCTAGAGATTCCAAGCATATCAACGAAGTCTAGGAACTTATTGAGACAAAGGAAATCAGGAAACACAACAAATCGTTAGTAGACAAAAATCTGAACGAATTCAGAGAAATGAAGAAAGTTATGGAACCCTGCAAACTATGCCAGTAACATGATCTTTAGGAACTTAAGTGTCGTCGAGCAATCAAAGAACCTATGAAACTGAAAGTAGCATGATAGCGAAACAAACTTTAAAAAGTGAATCAAACGCTTTTGCAACGAGTTCTGTTCATTTTCTTATTTTAAATTTATGAAAAAACTGATTGGTTCCAACCAACAAGAAAAAACTATATACACTTATATGAAACATGTGAATGTATGTTCGCTTTATCGAAATGCTCAAAATTTAAGGTAATCCACTAATTTAGGTATATTGATTTCTAGTTCTAGATTCAAATGTTCTAGTCTCTTCTTCTAAAAAATCCAAGACGTTGGTATAAGCAACAACACATGTTCCGTTTATATGGCTTTAAGAAAAGTTGACCATAATGTAATGTTGAAGACAACACAGCGTCAATCTTCTAGAAAAAGATAGTTGTTTTCGACAAAAAGTCAAACCTACATTTCTAAATAAAGTGAGGATTAAGGACATTATGTTAGCCGTCCTCTTCGAACAACTCTTATATGTACTGTCGATGTTCGAAGAGAAAACAAACATACCCACAGTGGTATCCTTCAATGAATGAACGATAACAAAAATCTAATTGGTTACTGAATGACGATAGAATGATCGCAAAATCATATTTTGTTTCACATTGTTACTCGTTGTCCAATTAGATCAGGATGTTCAAGTAGTTCTAGTTACTTTTAAAAGTCATTTCCAAGAACCATTTGGCAAAAGATGCGAAAATTCAATAAAACTAGCTAACCTCTTGATTCGAGTTAACGTGAGAATACTAAATTTCCTTACAGAATAATATCTATGGGTTCTTTTTATTTAAAAAATACTCAAATACTTTTGCTGGGATATTATGATAGAAATGGAAAGACGATGTAAATCTTATTCTGATAAAGAACATGCGCTTTCTGTCAATAGATAAATTATGAAATTTATCCGAAAGGACCGTGTTACTCCACATGCGCGAACTATAGGCAAACGAGAAAAGTTCTTCAAAAATTGATCATATCATCTATGAATTTCTTCTGTGAGTATAGTGCGCCTTAGAAAGTACGGCAATCTTATTCACATAACTGTCATCATCACTAATCTTGCTGAAAGACATAATCAACAGTAACCTACCTTGAACTGCTGCAGCACTGATTTTCGCAACGACAGACTAAAAAGAATGAGGTATTTAATGAATAGTCGTTTCCTACAATGGTTATCGTCTGACCTTTTTGTTGGTGGAGAAGAATTCAGTGTTTACGGCGCTGGCGGCTGCTGCAGCTCGATCGTTCTATGAACAAAAGAAGTTAGGTATGAACAAAAAAATGACACTAAGAAATTATTTGAATTACTTGAACCTGACTGACGTGTGTCGCTCTGTTTGCTTCTGTTATGCCAGCACCAGTCATTGTCGAAGCACCTGGAATTCAAAACAATCACGTATTTCTTAATAGGCTTTTAGTGTCACTTTCTATAAAATTCAATATGCTTTTACTGTTTAGTGGCTTACTCTAAGTCGAGACGGATGCCACTGGTTGTAACATATGAAATGGCTGCTTCTTTCAGAGTGAAGGCGTGAACAACAGACATGAGAGTGCGGGTAGTAGAGCGTATGAGAGTTTGGTGTGAAGGTATTAGATTTTCTCTTTACTCTCACCCACCCTCACGTCCTCATCCACACCATTAAAGTATTAGCGATACTACTTTTGAATTGTCCTAAGTAGATACCTATCTAAGTCCATCTACACTTTTGTGAGAAAAAAAGTTGCCTAATGTCTTATCTTCTTGGAATCGCTCAATCGCGATCTATAAAAATACTTATTGAGCTTTTCTTAAATTTTGTTTTATTCTGTAGAAAAATGGAATTTTTCTGATGGCAGCAGTAAAGTTGGGCAAACTTGTGAAGCTTGTGAACGTACATAGCGTTTTTAATTATCATCATTCAGTTTCAGAGCAAATCCAATCACACAATTGGGCTTAACGAAAAAACTACATTCTAATACATAGATGCTTTAACAAAAAAAAAAGTATATGAGAGCCTCTCAGTATTGTTTTTTCCTCAATTTTCCTTTCAATGCACTCAAGGTACATTTAGCGATGTGTAGCTTTGGTGTAAATACTGACAATCAGTTACCGACATAGTGTTGACGGGAAGATTGATCCCACTGATATGCGCATTTGCTGCTGGATTGCATCATCAGCTATGTCAAAATATCTCTCGTTTGTAGTGGTGTCTTCCACTGTTTCAGTGAACACTGATGCCAATATCAATGTGTTCGTGCAGTCAGTCTTCACTAATTACACTGATTCGATGACGTCGATAGTCAGCTAACTGAAACTGCATATTCACAGGTGCATGTTTCATGAAAAAATATTTAGCTAATATGTTTAAGATACGACGCAGGTTTTTTATGTTGATTCCAACTATACTATTGATTTTGGTTTAATATTTATTTATGATGAAAAAGGATTGCGAAATACTAATGGATTTTTGAAAGATGTATGCAGTTTTATCATTGATACTTAAAAAAAAGTTTCTCAATAATCAAACTAAGTCGAGAAAAGCTACATTGGTGTATTTGATACTCAAAATTCAATTATTCTAATGAGATACAACATTCAGTTCGAACTCTTTGCATGAAAGACTAGATAAATTTATAAAGTCGATGATTGACATTGGCTCTGATATGCACCTCTCAACGAAACTCTCTTTCCTTCATTTCCAAGGAAACGAGAGATGGTCAACAAATTTGAAGCAGAAGAACAAAAGCTTTTTCTACTAAGCCTTTCTTTGGATACGTAATGAAAAGTATTAGTTTAGAAATTATGAATAGTTCTTCTAATTTTTGTGATAGTGTCATGTGAAGCAAAGGTTGACACTTACCACTGTCTAGGTGATCATTCCTTTTTAATAACAAAAAAACTAAAAACTAATAGTATTTCTTCAGATTTTTTACCTTGAGAGTAAAAGCATTGTAATTGGTAGTGCTTCTGAATACTCTGCTCCTATGTAGGACACTTTAACATTTTTACTTTAACAATAGAATTTCAGTTCATATGTTCCGTATGTCATTGAAATACATGCTTTTTTGTAGTGTGAAAGTGAATATGGGCGTGGATGGAGAGAAGATCTATCAAATTCACACCCACAACTCATCCAACCACTACGAAAAAAAAAGAAAAATAACCAATGTTAAAAGTTTGACTGGTGAAAATCTTACACATACTGTAAATACTTAAAAAGTCCATTATCTCAATCAGTTTATGCCATTGGCAGCTCATATTTTAAATTTATTAGTTTGGCAGTGAGAGCTTGAATGTGACCCCAATATGTCTAATATTCTTTACTAATACTACAAAACCTTCGATTGTTAGAAAGAATTTGAACGTTTCAAAAACATTGAAAGATGCATTATCCAACTGTATCATATTTGGACGAATCTTTAAAACATCGTCGTATTAGTTATATTAATCGGATGCAACTCACGAATAATAAACTTTAAGAAGAATGTGCTACATGTGAATATGAATGAGAGAGAAAGCAGCAGAGTTTCGTTCGACTTCACACTGCAACTGAAATTTTTCACGAGAATGTATAGAATAGGCATGCTGCAAAATTTATTTTTTGAAATGCAGGCAAACTCACCAGTAACATTGAGAGTGATAGTCATCTCTGCCATTGATATCTTATTCTTTGCTGTTACCTTGAACACACCTTGATGTTCTGGCTTTACACTAGCCACCAAAAATGTGTATCGTGTTGTACCCCTGCTTGTGAACTCCATTGCCTTTTCATCTTTTGTCAGCTGAACTGTTGGTGTTTCCTTACCACTCACATCCACGGTAATTTCGAATGTTTCACCAATTTTCAAGCCGACTACATCCGATGTTGGTCTCACTTTTGACAATTTCACTGACTCCAGTACTGTAAGTACACATGGAGTCGATTGCATTTCATCAACTTCGTTCTTCACTACGACTTGATAGGTTCCTTCGCTCTGTGCCACTGTTGCCTGTTTGATCAACAGTCGATATTCATTCTTCGCTTCGTCTACTGATGTATTCTCTGGTGCAATGAATTTATCATTAAAGAACCACTGAGCAGATGGCGGTGGTGATCCTCGTGCAACCACTTTCAATGTGACATCTCGCCCGCTCACAGTTTCTTGTTCTTTGGGCAACTGTGTAGTGATTATTGGTGCAGCAAGAACATCGAGTCGAACAGTTTCTTCTTGATTGCCATATGGATTCTCGAGACGACAAGTAATCGAACCTGCATGTTGTTCTAGAACGACGTTCTGAATGGACAACTTGACTTCACCATTGGTAGCATCGAACTGCACGTGAATACCTTCTTTCGCTGTCAATGGTTTTCCATTAAGAAGCCATGTTATAGTCGGTGTTGGGTATCCATCAATCTTCGTCACGAATACTGCTGTCGTACCTTGCTTTACTTTTTGTGTTGTCAGCTTGATAATAAACACTGGTGATTCTACAAGGGCATATGTTATTCAAAAACAAGAAAAATCAAGGTGACGTACTCGAAACAGTGACTTTGCACTTATTGGATTCAAGTGATCCACCAACGTTGAAAATCTTGGCTGAATATTCACCTTGATCTCCTGGTTGTACATTCAAGATAGCCATTGTGTATTTGTCATCGTTACCATCCGATGTTGTCACTTGAATGCGATCATTTGGTGTAAGTTCATTGTCGTCTTTCATCCAGACAATGTCAGGCTTTGGTGTTCCACTGGCGACGATTTTTAGTACCATGGTTTCACCTTTTGTGACTTTCAGTGCACTATTGAGATTAGTATTGATGACAAGTTTGATGCAATCAATCTTTAATGTTGTCTGAGCGTCAGCTATACCAAAAACATTGGTTGCTCTAGTAGTATAGACACCTTGATCGCCAAGTTCAACTTGACGAATTGTTAGTATCGATGTTCCATCATCAGTCTCCGTTACTTGCAAGCGATTGTCAGTTGGAAGTGGTTGATCATTGAAGAACCATGTTACACGTAGCTTCCCGATGCCATTGAACTGCCATGAAATCTGAGTATCTTTACCAAACATACATAATTGCTCGTTTACCGATGTTGGAGCCTCTACTTTGGGTTGAACTAAATAATAAGTAATCATTCGTTTAGTACGTGGAAGATGATGAGAATACTCAGGATGTGAGTGAATAGAAGATCCACACCCATACGGGAGTCGAACAGTGTATGACAGAATAAGATGGTGTGCCATCGAGCAGAACATGAGCGAAAGGGTGAATGAAGTCACTGTTCTGGTGGTGTTTAGTTGTGGATTCAGAGAAGATCAATATTTACACCCCATACCTGTGTTTATTCTATTTGTTCAGCTTAAATCAATTAAATTGAAGGTTTTAGTTTAAAGAGCATTTTGTTCCCTAAGTACGAATTTAGCAATCAATTTTTTTCCATCGCTTTCCGCAGCGTTGAACAACTATACCTTGCCAAATCTAGTACATTTCTCGTTCTCTTCATAAAGATAGGATGCACCCTTTCCACTGCGTAAACGTATATACGTAATTGCTAGGCTAGAGACATTTCTCTCAAATTTGGGCTATCATTGGATTAGAACATAACAATAAGAGAATAGGAAGAAATGCTCCCAAAGCATCCATTAACTTTTCGTCACATATTGATCCTTATCTAAAATTTGACTTCTTAAAGTAATACATCAAGAAGTAAACAATAGAGTTCACTCCTTTTTTGCGTGT